GATACACTTCTCAGCTGTGTCATGAAATTTGTGATGTACTAAGTTTCAACGGCGGCTATGTCTTTCGATAAAAATCTGTTTTTAAAGAATTATTCTACCTGTTTTTACAGATTTAAACACAATTTTTATGTAATTTATTTTATTATTTTTAATTTAAAGTTTGCAATTTTTTTTTACTTCAAAAAATAGTATTTTCATAAAAAACACACTCTTCAAAATTTTGGAATCTCTAAAGATCAGTTAGAGGTATTGTAAAAAAAAAATGGTCCAAAAATTTATTTAATTTTTTTGCGATTTTATTTAGAGTATTTTTTCGTATAGCTTTTAAAACGGGACCAGAAACCATTTTTCAAAAAATTAACTTGCAGAATCCGGGAAATTGTATAGTTTTGAACTTAAAAAAAAAAACTGTATGTTTTGCCTTCTGCAGAACGTTGTTATATGATAAAAAAAAGTTCTGATCAAAATAATCTATGTAAATCAAAAATGGTCGATTCCATCTACAAGTGAGACTCTGTTTCCGTGGAAAGTAAATATACGCCGATGCCCTTCAAGCGCATTTTTTGTTTCAGAACAAAATGTTGTGTTTAAAGGGCAGAGAAAGCGGCTCAAGATATGTACTTACCTTGAGTTGAAACAAATTTTACATTATCTACTCGTACTTATGCATACACATATTTGTATGAAAAAAAAAATTGTTGTCCAAATTTATTCAACTTTGGTTTTTTCTTTATGAAATTTCAGTTAAAAACAAATCGATTCCTGTCGTGCAATGGAACAGCGAACAGGCAACAACAATGCTCTATCAACCCTTCGTACTTCTATTACACAAGCTTGGATTTCAATTACCTGCCGATGCGGGTTCGATTTTTGCACGCATTCCCGATTTCTGGACCGCAGAAATGATGTTCAGTTTGGCGCGCAAGCTGGGACCCCTGGACAAATGTGAGTAATTTGAAAAAGGTGGGCTAGATGTTGATTGGTCAATATTATGTTCTTTTTCTTTCTTCTGTTAAAAAAAAAAAACAAATAATATCGTAAAAAAAAACCGATTGAACAACGTAACAACAATCAATTCAAATATATTTCTACACACAAACTCATGCAACGAACTGACTATGCAAATCAAATGGATGAATAAAAACAAAAAAAAAAAAACAACAAATCCTTCTCAACACAACTCAAACAAGCAAAATCCACCAAACAAATTTTTAATTACGAAAAAAATTAAATGGTTTAAAATTTCTATAAAACGCATCGTTTTGTACAAAATGTAAATACATCCACATATGTACATATCTCCGCACGTTCGTCGTTCGTCGTTCGTTTACTTTTTTCGTTTGTTTACTACCGTCCAATTACCAATTGTTGTCCTCTCTCTACTATCCTTTCACCTTTCCACTCTCTGTGTGTATTTCTCTCGCTCTGTCTCTCTTGTACTTTTGATCTTATAGTGTTGATCAAGTTCGATATGAGTCAGTTTGAGGAAGCAAATGCAATAGAGTCGCAGCGTTGTTATCACGCAACAGCCGCACGTGGTTCGCTTTCCTCAATGTCCAGCCTGGAAATGGATACTGGCGGTTCCGATGAGTACACAGCTGCGGCTAGTGTCGGCATGGAGGAGGGTAATCGCAATGGTAGATCGAGCACAAATGGACGTTCGAGTAGTGGAAGCGGTAGTATGTTGGCGCCAGTGCTGGAGGTTGATGCTAGATTGGAGAAGGCGAGCACGTCGTCATCCAGTGATATTTTTGCTATGCCAAGAGCAAAGCATTGTAATTCGATAATAAGGTAAGTAAGAGTACTACATCCATACATAGTACATACATATATAGAGGCTAACCACATATATTTGTAATGCAATCCTAAGCGATAAATGCGATCAATTGAGTGCCTATGTATATTTGTGTTCATTGCTTTTTTCTTGCTTCTCTAGATTTACACCCGAGGCAGCACCATTGCCACCAGTACCGAATTGGTTGCAAGTGGTAATGCGCAGCAAGATGAATACAAACGCCACAGCTTCGTCCTTGGATGTCGCTCTCAATGGGAACAATGTAGTTACAACAACAACAACAACAACAGCTACTGCAAATGAAAGGTATGTAGGTGAATAGTTTAAGAAAAGTATCTGAAGCTTTAATTATGCTAGATTTCCATAGGACCTTGAATGACAGATATTTTAGTGACAAAGTTGGGCATTAAAAAGACCCGTGTTATTTCGTTCAAAAAATAGTTATTAAACAACTTTCCACACGACATGTATTAAAAGGCACATATATTTTGTCATTTTAATGCCTAGTGGAAACTCGGCCATAGAGAAATATCACCGTTTTCTATGCAAAAGGCTATAAGAGACATTTTTCTGGACTGAGTTCATCGCAATGTTCCCTGAGTTTGCACTCGGACACACGTCCGCTCACAAAGAGGAGTCTTAATGACATTTGTCGAGCATATTTTAAATAGTCTGGAAAGCATTTTCTAAGGGTATGTGCACACAGGCAGCAGGACCGTGCCGAGCGAAGCCGCTGAGAGCGGTGCGCAGCTTTCAAATTTAACTCAATGAGGGTGTTCAAACAGCAAGCTTTTTCAGAAGCGCTTGCTTCGGAATCGAAAGTTCTGAAATCACTATTTGTTTTTTCAGCGTTTTGTCGCTGCTATGAAGAAGAAATTCAAATCCCTTATTTGAAATAAATCTTTTCAAGCAAAATAAACAAACATTTTAGGCACTTTTAATTGCTGGTAGGTTTTGTGGTATATATACATATTTGTAGCCGATTAAAAAAGTATATCGAAATTATCGGAATGACGAATAGACTTTTTTTGTAACTCAGTCGACATTTTGATGGTTTTGCCAGCTAAGCTTTTGTAAAAATTATATTTTTAAATATTAAATTAAAAAAACAAAATTTACTTTTTTTTTCAAGGATACGCGCTTACTTTAATGCTTTTGAACAAGCATACACAATGACATAAATAACATTTTTAAGATGATAAAAATGGGGTGGAATATACAGAAATATATGAAACCGAAGGGAAAACGTTGTATAAACTATAAACATACACACGAGTAGAAGCCCCCCTAGTATTTCAGATATATATACATAAATAATATCCAATACTATGAAGATTAATGAAGAAAACTTACATATGTACATAATTGCAATGAGCAGGTTGCAGTTTGAAATTGAAGCAAAATCGGAGGATAGCATTTTATCGATTGGCGTAAGCACTTCAAATTTATATAAAATGACATAAAACTATATATCTATAAGATTTGTGGAATGCACATTTTGGCAAAAGTATTTAAATTTCTCATATGGCTAATTTATTGCTTTTGTAATACTTAGGCACCTGTAGACATACATACATTCCTAAGTACTAATACTAACATAAGACTCCCTTCCCTACATAAAATTTAACTGGTATTTAACCGACGCGACTATAAAATTTGCTCTCTTTATGAGTAAGATAACTAAGTGTTGGCGCTTACATATACATACGTACTTATTTCTACGTGCCCGGCCGAGCTTCTCCTCCAATTTGTATTGTGCGTCTTGATGTTGTAGGCGGGCCTAGAGTTTTACGCCGGCTAAGAACGGCAAATTGATTTTATGAGCAGCTTCTTTTTCATGGCAGAAATGCAGACGGAGGTTTGCCATTGGCGACCAATTTTTGTTGATGTTATTGGGACATGGAATTGAACCCTGGACCCACAGAGTGGCAGTACGTACAACTAACCACCCGGTTACGATGGCAGCCATTCCTTTCTAAATACAAATCTTCAATGAAAGTAATGGCTAGCTAATCAATGAACTAAACTACTTCAGATATAGTCTCAACAGCTGCAGTGTGGACCTTGCGCTTTCTACGGACTAGGCAAGGCAAAAAAAAGGCCTCACTTTATACCTACTAAGTATTTAAGAAAAATTATTCTATCAAAAAATATTTAACAGTTGGTCGCATTTTTCGTTACTACTCGAACTTCTGCCAATAATTTGTTTCGCATAATAAATGAAACAAAAAAATACCAACTTAAGAGAAGGCTTTTGACTGTTTACATATGTATGTACCTCAATATGATAAACCACCTAAGTCAAGACTTCCGTATGAAGAGGCCATTGCATTAAAAATTGGCAAATAAAGAAACGCACGCAGCAGAAATTTCGTTTTATTAAGTCGTAATATCTTATCTAAGGTTCGTTGTATCGAAGTTACACTGTACTTTTCTCTAAATTGTCTACTAGTTTGTTAAAGAAAATTCACTATAACGCCCAGCTCTGCCATTTCTATCCAGTCATGACGAGTTTTTCCCACATCTGTCCAAGAAGAATCTCGGTAACGGCCTTACTTACTTATCAAAAAATCGAGAATGCCTATCATAAATAGCATATCTTTATGAACAGATCTAATGATGAAAGCAGATTATGCAAAGAAGTATCGAGGAGTCTATATTATAGTTTCTTTGTTTAAGCTTGGGTCAAACACTTTTCTTAACCGGTTTGCAACTAAATTTTGGATAGTAAATTCCTTCAACGCGCAGCACGGACATACTCTATGTCTTGGTCCGCTAGGTGGCGCATATTCGGAAAATCTCTATTCACGATCCGATTTTGATGAAATTAGAAACGTATCTTGCGGCTGCGACGAAAATACTTTTACGAAAAATTAGTTGTTGTAAAAAGATATGCTGCAGGTGTGATGAGAAATACCTTTATGACAACTGGATTCGCTAGATGGCGCCAGAGTCGAGTTTTGCATTTCGTATTTACGGTCAAATTTTGATGAAATTGAAACCGTGGTAACGCCTTCCGCGGACCGTCAATCCTCTTTCTGTCGATCCACCATTTTGCTGACGTCATAGTTATATTTTTCACAATAGTGATGAAAATAAAAATTTCATATTTTCGATAAGATGAATCCAAAAGTCGATTTGGGAAAAATATTAAGATTTTCGTGAGCTGAACCGATTTGAAAATACCTAAAACAAAAAAAAAATAGTTTTTCAAAAGGTTTTCGTCCTACAAGGCACCTCAGATATTAGTAGAGTTTAAGCATTTAGAGCCTGTATAAAAATGTTTAAAAATTGTACCAACAGAATCAAAATAAATCGATTTTTTGAAGGTATTTTCAAATCGATTTAGCTCCCATAGATCTTAATATTTTTCCGAAATATTTTGGCGGGAATCTTGAAATATCATACATTTTATAATACCGATGGACAACCGAATTTTTTTCGTGAGGCTCCTTAATGTACATTTCAGCGAGATAAGGAGTTTATCTTCTTGTAAATTATTAATGAAATGCTCCACTCCCGTTTATATTATTTAATAGTAAATGTAAATCGAATATTTACATTGAATAGCAACAATCCAATTGCGGTAACGAGTAGTAAAAATAAAAATAGAAAATTTTATTGCCGTTTATCCAATTTTATGCAATATATGAAAATAGTTCGAGCCCATACATTTTATGATTTTATGTATTTGCCACACAAAGGTACTACCTATACTAACTACCTACATACATACCTGTAAACCGCAGCGCTCCTTTTACGGTCGATTGACCAGCAGCGACTGGCAACACAACACTTAATTAACATAAAAGAAAAGCAATAAAAATTACAACAAACACTTGCAAACAATTGGGGGCGCCATATAGTTAAGCCATTAGACACAAAAGAAATCTAAAATGTACATTTGTACATTGAAAAGTGTTGTTTACTGGCATTCAAAGAGGGGCGGCTTAATCAGCAAACAACCGAGAAAACAACAACCTGCAATCAACAACAATTCGCAATCAATAGTCAACAAACGTTTGCAATTTTATGAGCTTAAAGATAACAACGCGAAATGCGAAAATTAATTAATTACAAAAATCTAATAACACATACATACATACTCACACACATGCATATGTAGGTATGTATTTAGTACGCGCTTACGTATTAGCCAACTTACCTAACTGTAAATGTGGACATTGGTGGCTATTGTTCGAAACCACAGTGGCGATTTGAAATTAATTAATGCGAAACGATTGCCTGCCGCAATATGGAAGAGAATATAAATTAAGTTTCACCCAAAAATGCATAGATAGAGATATCCAAAATAATAATATTTATGCGCATAAAAATTGCAAAGAAAAAGAAAAACTTAAAAAATTAATATGTTTCACAGATTCGCAATACGATGTAATACGTCGTCCGTCGTCGTAATCGGTGTCGCGAAATGGGTGTTGTTGTTGGCCAGCTAATTTAACGCTTCGCTGCGCATCCGCATTGGCTGTGATCTAATAAGGAATAGTTGTCGCCTTAAAAAGCTACATAAATGCCAAAAAAAAACACAAATCTGATTTAATTTCACTTATCTGATGAACTCAAATGTGTACAAATCGCTGACGATTAGCGAGCTGTTGCATATCGCAGCTTAGTTATGTGATAACTTCTCATAGAAATGACCAGGTGTGTGTGTGTGTAATTAATTTGCAAATTTTTGCTGCTTTTAAGTATGAATGTACCTATGCCGAAAATAAAACGTGCAGATTTCGAAATTTGTTTTTTTTTTTTTTTAATTTATGTTTTGACAATAAATTGCGCTATGGGTTGTTGATCCGCTGCGAACAACATTGACATAACTCGACTAGCAGAGATACACTGAAATAAAAATTATGACTGTCTCCGAGCGAGGTGATGGCAAATAAAGCGTGTCAACTGCTAATATTGTGGATGTAAAACTCGAAAGTTATATCTCTTCTCACATCTCATCCACTTTATTTGCTTTTTGCTATCGCACACGAAGGTGAAGCTTTTCAATTTTAGCAATGAGGAATTCAGAAATTCTACATAAAATTAAAACAGTATGGGTGAAAATTTGGAAAAATATGAGACAAGTAATAATGACCAAATTAGTAAATTAAAAAAAAAAAAAATGTTGAGGCAACCTTACCGGCCAATCGACGTTCAGTTCCTCGTAGTAAATTCCAGCCCGCGCTCTATCTACCATTTTAGAACCAACTGTGAACATTTTGGTTGGGCTGGATTTCATTCCCTTAGGCCCGGTGCACATTAGAGCGATATGATACGCGATACAATACGAAAGCGACATCGACATGCTGAGTAGGTACATGGCATGTGGTGGAAGCTATGAAAGCTGTGCACACTTGTACGACAGCGACACAGCTGCGACATAATATCACTTGCGTAACGGCCGTGCGACAGGGTTTGTTATCACACCGCAATTTTCCCACTACAAGATTTTTACGAATTTTTTTTTCCAACTTTTGTCTATGCTTTTTAAATACAATGACCCGAAGTTATAGTCAAAATTAAGTCGACTCTAAAGTTTAAAGCAGCTTTCTGACTTAACTTTCAATAGGTTATCTCTTAAAATAGCTACTTGGGTTTACTACAGTTATCGAGTTTTTCCTCCATATCCTACCCTAGTTTTTTTTTCAATTAGGAGGCCCCTAGATAAATAGCCTGCAGACATTCAGAACAAAAAAAAAACAAGAGTTTTGATTTAAACAATGTTCGCTGGTTTGCGATGTGTAAAAAAAAAAATTTAAACAAACTGCAAACTTGAACTGTAGCATTTATGTAAATATTTTATCTTTCAGCTTCTTTGCTGACTTTATGTGTTTGTCTAAAAATAGGTCCGGCATCCATAAATTCATTCATTCATTCAATCGCAATCGCAGTTACCTGCATACATACATACATACATATGTATGTGCATTTATGTATATAAAGCCACAAAGCCGTACGTACATCTCCTTTAAAGCACTTCAACAATGTTAAAAAACTTTGGATTGCCAGCCATCGTAAATATTTTACACACCTCCAAAGTTGGTTTGCCATATAAGTCTGAATTTTTTGTTGTTGTTGCTTTCTGCAGTGATGATTTAGCATAAAATTTGCAAGATATGTTAATTTACTATGACAAAACTAACAGTACCGGTTTCGGGTTGCATGAGTGTGTGTGTGTATGTGTGTGTGTGTGTTTGACCCTCTTTGGTCTGCAGCAGCCATTAAGAATTGAAAAGAGATTAAAAGAAAAAAATTTAAATTATGTATGTATGCATGCACATAAAATCACAATTAAAATGAAGATTATTATGCGTTCCAGTTAACTAGGCAGTTTTGTTTTTTTCCCATCTAAAATTTTCATGGCATTCGGCCTTGTTTAAAATATATATACAATTTTTTATTGCATTGCGAAAATTCTGACCTATCTTTTTAGACAATTAGCAAAAGGTACATTCAAGTATTTACAGTTAATAAAATCCATTAAAAGCAAACTGTGAATTGCTCTACACAATAAAGTTTAATTAACAATCTATTCACACCAAATTTCGCATTTGCAAGCGCAACAGTAGTTAATGTGCGGGGGTGGTTTGAAAATAACAACTAATGATAATCCGGATAATTTTGTAAAAGCGCCAAAATACATGTGGAATTGTGGCCACTCTGTACGTCACTGCGTATATTTTTTCTTCATTTATTTGCTGAATTATTGAACTGTTCTGGTAGGCTTACTGCTGCACGGCTTTTCGCAGGCGCTCTCCTAAAAGCAAGCTTTCCTGGAAGAAAAGAGTAAAGAGCATGTCGGTAGCCTCAAATTACAGCAAATAAGACAATCAATGGCAAGAGATATTGCCCCTCGCCAAGGATGGTTTCCTGGCTCTATGAAACTATCATTAAACCTACTTTATTGAACGGTGTCCAAGGAGCGTAATAGACAATGCATGCCAAGATCGATTTTAATTGAAATCCGTGGTATACTTTGGATCAATCCTACTCTGCCGTTTAAGGAAAGGCCAAACGTGTGTCCATAATCCATAATCCATAGTCCATAATCATTACAACATCGGCGTACGTGAAAATTTTACTCCCCGCTTAAGGTTTAAACTCCCTGTGTCACACCTCTTTCTCACTACCCTAGAAGCTTTCGGGAATTGCGAATATTTATTCGCGTGACCAGCTGCATTATGTCAATACCACTTTGCCAAGAAGAATAAATTTTTTGTGCAATTTTTGAACCACCCTCTTGAGGGGCTTGTTAACCAATAACAGTCTCTAAAATAGTCCTAAAGTGTAATAAAGTTCAAAGTGTCAGCGCAAAAGCTCTAAATGTGAAGTGGCAAACAAGAAGAGTTAAATGTAAATGTTCGCTTGTGAGCATTTCAGTTTGAGGCGTGAGCAATTCATCAAATTTATTGCTTTCGAAAATTGGCAGTTGGTAGTTAAACAACAATAAAATCGAACCGTAACAATTTCAGTAATGGTTAAGTTTTGAAATAGTTTTTTTTTTTTTTTTTGGTTTTTCTTTTAATGCTTGTAATCAACACTTGGCACGATGTTCAAAGGGATTTATGTTTATATACATACATACATACACAACGTCTAAGTCAATAATTGTGGCAACGAGTACGTACTGCTTGACGGTCTGTGGCAGCAATAAATGCCAACACCTTCATTCGCTTACATACAAACATACATACATATTTATATGTTCTTACATTTGCTTGCAATTTATAGCCAATTTGGCTTACTATGTTATTTTTGGTAGCACATAAATGCATAATTTTCGTGCATTAAAAAGGCATAAAAACACAAATAATTTGTTGTGGTGCAGAGTGATGTTTGAAATTGTGCAAACATGTGGCCGCCAACTAGCCCTACATAATTTTGGGTTAAAAAGTGCACTAGCCAACTCACTGCTCTAAGGCTATACGTACTTAAGTATGCCTCAAAAAGCGAGTGTGTGTGTGTGTATGTGGCGGCCATTGTCACTGCCACTGCTACATGCTACCTTTTTTGCAATGCGCAATTTATTTAATTTTTTTTTCTTCTACAAAATATATTCTCGATTTTCCACTGTCGAACACACGCTTTGACTGCTGCAACTGTTGTTTACTTAATAATTAAATTGATTTATGTGACTGATTGATGTTTGAGCAGCAGCAGCAGCAGCAGCAGCAGCAATAACGGTATTGTTGCCACTATTGTACTGTGGCATGAATGGCACTTAAGAATGCTCCAACAAGCATTGGCGGTGGCAATCAAGCGCGCTGACATGACGCCCAACCCATTTTTTGCAGTCAACAGCTTATGACGCTTTAGTAAACGAACAAAAAAAAACGTTGAAAAAAATTGAAAACAATAAAATCATTAAAATGGCACTTCTCGCGCTTGAGTCTTAAGCAATTTTGAGCGCTAAAGCTTCAGTCTTTGATATTTAGGTTGATTTTCACAACTTTGTTATTTACTCGATGGTTAATTGGAAAGGTTAAGGGCAGTCTATTGATTGTAGTGAGCTGAGCTGCTTGGGTTAATGAATGGTCTGTGAGAATGTCAATACGTATTCATACATACATATGGACATATGAATGTGCATAGTAGCTGCATCATATCAAAAATTAAAATTATTTAATGGATAAACTCTTAATGTGGGAATCGAGGGTAGCTTTGCTTCCGTAGTGTTTTTTTTTCTTGCTAGGCAGACATTAAAGAATCATTCAATTACGCTTCTGCTATGACAAAGTTTTCATAAAAAGCCATCTTGCGTTCAGAGGCGGCATAAGACTTTAGTTTTCTCCATTTGTGTGACATCAAGACGCACTCCTTCACTTGTTAGAGTATCTTGGCAATTTTCTTGCTTTCGAAAGTCTAGCTTAGTTGTTAAACAATAAAAGCGTCCACTTACATAAAGTGGAAATGCAACCTTTTTAGTTTTTTATATTCCAATCTTGAGTCTCCAAGTATATTAGATTCAAATAAATGCAGTTTACCGAGACTATGTTAATTCAATTTCCCCTTTACACATCTCTGCATACATAAATATTTATGTATGTTAGGGTGGGTAATTTTTTTTTTGACTATGCGCGTATAGTATAGGAGGATTCTACCTGCATTTATAAGCCAAAATCCATTTGTAGTTTGCCAAATTGCCAAAGTAGGTTTCCAGGAAAATGTGCAAATTTTCACTATTGCGCCATCTGGTGGAAGTTTTAAGAAAAACATAAGTGCTCAAATGGATTTATCATACCAAAAAAAAACCCCTTATAGCATAGTACAGGGTTGTACAAAATTTAAGCACGTCTTTACGACACCACAGCATAATGCTAAGAAACCTATTTTCGCTGTTGGGCAAACTCTAAATTGATTAGAGACCCATGGTTTCTTCCGAAAATTTGCTAAGAATTACACGTAGAATACTTCTGTGATATAGGCGTATATTTAGTCGAAAAAATCTCCCATACAAAATGACCCGCCCTAATGTATACACAACCTACATAAGTATAACTACATGCACTCGTGGGTGATGTAAGTTGGCAAAATGATTTCAATTAGCAATTTAAAATCAACTTTTGCGCATATAAAATGTTTCTGAGCGTTGAATTGTCAACAGATTTAAATTGGAGCTTTCTATTCGTTTGCCAACAACTTTTGGACACTGGACATATGTTCATACATACACCTACAAACATACATACATACATAACTACAATGCATTTAGAAATTTTTTCCTCTGTTCACAACATTTATTGTTATTATTATTGTTGCTATAATCTTACATGTCTTTGCTTTGTCTGCTCTTCTACTTGTAGCACAAGCATTGCAATCGCACTGACTGCTTTGGTGACAACTGCCACAGCAACAACAGCAACAGCTGCCACATCAACCACTGCAACAATACAGCAACAACACAACGCTGTAGTCTCGGCTGCCTTAGCGCCACAAACAACAATACCAATCCCCACAGACCAGTGTCCAGCATCCATCAACAATATAATTGGCTTGAATAATGAGACGAATAATAAAGCGAATAGCAGCAGCAGCAACAGTGCAGGCACAAGCAACTGCAACAACGACAACAATACGAATACTAGTAGTGTTGATGAAATGAACGATTGCAGCAGCCGTGGCAGCAACATGAATGCCACAAGCAACAACATTAACATCCAAATCAGCAAAAGTGGCGGCGACAACAACATGAATGGTGATGGCGATAGTAGCGGCATTGTTGGTGGCGGCAGAGGCAGCGGCAACTATACTGGCAGTGACAGCAGCGGCAGCAACAGCACTACAATCATCCTTTCTGGCACGAACAGTAGCAGCGCCAGTGGCAGTGGCAGCAACAGTTGCCACAATAATCACAATAATCAACAGGAGAACAAAAGTGTGGCAACCATGCAATGTGGCTTTCGAATACCCACAGCTTTGCCAGCGGCAACAACTATGCCAACAATGTCTAATGTGACAGCAACAGCAATGGCAGCGGCTGCAGCGGCAGCCGTGGCAGCCACTGATAATTTTATCATCTATCAGCAACAGCAACAACAAATGCATAAACAACATCAGCAACAACAACAACAGTTGCAAGCACAACAGCAACAGCATCAGCAACAGTTGCTACAACAACAGCAACAACATTTTGATGCGGCAATAAAGACATACGAACGTAGCGAGCAGCCGCAGAGTATCGACATGAATTTCGGCGGTAATGGAGGTGGTGGTGGCGCAGGTGGCGTAGGTGGAGGTGCTGGCCTGATTATGACCGCCGGCATTGGCGCTGGCTGTGGTGTTGGTGTCAACGTCGGTGTTGGTACTGGTACTGGCGCTGGTGGTATACTCAGCGTGGGCGGTTGTGCCTCAAGTGCGATTGGTGGTATTCACAGCAACTTGGAGAGCGAATATAGCGCCATGGTCGCATCGGTGTACGAGCATGAAACTGCCTTGTAAGTAGATATTATATAATATTGTTTACTATTAGTGTAGTGTTGATCGAAAGGATGTCATTTTGTATGATAGATACTATTTTATAATATAATTTTGACTGGGTGTTTTGGATTTAACGATTTATAAAATGTTAGTGGGTGAGCCTAGCCAACTCAGATCAATTAAGATACCTAAGAAATGCTTTCATAATCCTATATTTGCATAACCTCAAACCACCAATTCATATATTTTGTGAAACACAGTCGGCCCGTTTAAATGGGATTGGATCGCCTAGGTGTACGTATTAAGAAAAGATCTCCTCGAGTTTTGCACAGCTTTACTGTAAAGTATAATGCATTGTGACACCAGCTTGGTGGTCATATATCTCAATGTGTATTGATTTTTTAGTCCCCCCTGCATGGCTTTTCGGTGATTGATGGAGCTTTCTATAATCCCGGACGAAAGCAATAAGTAGGACACTCTTAGAACGTGGCTTTCAGCGCTCAATAACTAATAGAATGGATTGACTTCATGCTTTATAGCAGAGTAAGTAAAACAAAAACCTTGGACCCTTATAGCCAGACTTACAGGGCCAACTAACCATTCCGAAACTGAAATCGCATTTAAAAGAAAAAGTCTAGTTTTCTCTGCCAAAATTAGAATATCTAATCCGAAGCGAAGTACCTAGCTATAACTCTTGATTCATAACTTATTTAGTTCGGCAAACTATGCACATTTTATTTTTGAGCGTACCAGGGCCGGATTTGGGGCAGGGCGAGAGGGGCGGTTGTCCTGGGCGCCGAATTTTTTTATTGCATAAAAGTTTCGAATGTGAACTTCCTTCATCTATATCGCGCTTATGTCATATAATGCTCGATGAACCAACAATACGGTATTTGTAGATAATTTTCTCAATGCCGTACTTTCGGCTTCTCCTCGGAATACTAACCGGGCCCTTGACCATTGGTAATATGGTTACGAACCTACGAACCCTATATACAGACTTCTATAGAAGCTGTAGAGATGAAAAGACATATAGCCGGCTCACGTATTCCAGGATTTAGTCTGATATAGCCCGAAGTCGTTCCCGTGCACAGCACTTCGGAGAAATCGCCTCAAATTCGTTGGGGACCACTGCTGTAATAACTTAGATAGTTTAAACTGAGCTCCATTAGATGCTCTACCAGGATTCGTAAACAAAATAAGTATAGGTTAAGGACATGCAGAAACAGGAATGGACCTGATTAAAAGTATTTTTGTATTGATATTAATAATTTATTTAATTTTCATAGAAATTGTCTAACAGTGAGCCTCAGTATCAGTTTTGAAAGTAAGCCTACTAAGAAGAACTCATGGTTCCAGTCTAGGCACTAAATAATTCGTGTCAACAGGGATATAGTCGAAGCTTCCAATAGTCAATTAAGCATGCCGAGAGCTATGTTAGGTACGGCGTTCAGTGCCAGAGCTCTTTTCCCATTCACATTACCGCTAGGGTTGAGCGGACGGAAAGTAGAAGAAGAAAGGCACCGGTGAATTTCTTCACGGATGGGTTGAAGCTGACTGAAGGATAGGTGTTTTTGCTAAAAGCTTTTTTTAAATAAGATTAAAACTTTTCACTTCCGAAAAACTTTTCATATCCTAAATCTTATTCCTCATATATATTAAACAAAATCTATACATCTTTTTTTCTTCAACCTCCAAAGCACTGACGAAGGATTCCTTCCACTCACCTAACGCTTTTTAAAAATTGCCTCAAAATGAATTTGTTGTACAATCTTAATTAATTGTATGAATTTTTACTATTTCTACATAATTCATATATGTACTCCTAAATGGTTTTACACTCTTCTCGTTTTGGTATTACAAATATTTATATGTTCTTTGTGCTAATTTTCCGCCAAACGTCAATCAAAAATTCGTACTGAAATCGGTCAATTTGCCACAACCAACCACACCACCTCTGCGCACATACATAAATGCTATGTGCAATGCGTGCATATCGCAAATTTCATGCCGGTCGAGTTTAGTCTTAAGGCTACGGGCGTATTTAGTTGTATGTACAATATATATATATACACAGCTGNGCAACTGCAAATGTACTTACTTACATACATTCCTTAGTATATGTCAGTTTGTATGTTTGTAGCCATATTTGTGCATTGCTGCGTGCAATTGTTGTTACCTTCTTTTATGGCTTGAATTACTTGTAGCAACAAATATTGGCGCAATTGGGTTCCCTACAGTAGCTAGCGCTTCAGTTTAGCCTTTTTTTTTTAACTTTGCCTTTTTAGCTTTACTTGCAATTCGTTTGCCATATTTGTATAATTGCCGACAAGCTGGCGAATGTGTAACGCTTTTCATTTGGTTACCTGCATGTCGTCGGTGGTTACTTGAGTACTTTAGTGCTTATAAGTGCATAAGTATATTTGTTTACACTTTTGTATGGTTCACATATGGACTTACAAAGCGAGCATAGAAGGCGCTCGAAGAATTTGTATTTGAATTCGGTTGGTATGAGTTTTCGATTTCGATGCAAATTCTCTTCATGGTTGAGTGAATGGCGCCAAGTGGAAATGTAAGATATTTGAAGGCTGCATGTTTAGTGAAACTTAAGAAATTTTTTGTTAAACAAATAAATATTTTTGATTAACGTTCAGCTTTTATGCTTTATATTGTTTTTTTTTTTTTGTATGTAAAAATTTGAGCTCTCGCTATTGGTCAAATTTGCGTTAACCCAGCAGCAAATCTGTAATTGCTTCGTATGTTTACAAGTGAACATTTCTCGACTAGTTCAAGGTTTTTTTCGGAACAATTTCGGGTTTAATTCACAACTTGTCTAGGACCATTTCAGGACCTGTTCAAGTGTGTTTCAGGATCATTCCGACACTTTTTCGGAATCTTTTCGGGACTATTTCGGATCAGTTTGGCACTAGTTCATGACCATTTGGGGACTAGTTAGGACTATTTCAGTACCATTTCGGGATAGTTCACGACTGATTCAGGACCATTTCGGGCCTGGTTCAGGACTTGTTCGAGATACTGGTAAACCGGTTACTGTGCCGGTACAAAGTTTTCTATGTGGTTCGAACGACTAAACCGAACCGCACCGTTATTTGGAGTGGTTTGCAGCCCTGTAGCTCGTTTCTGTAAAATTTGTCTACAAAGGGAATTTAGATATGAATTCGTCGCCCTGTTCTCTACTGCTAATAAGTAGTTGAGAATGACGTATATTCTCTACAAGTAGAGAAATAATCGGTAGAGAAGAGTTACAAAAACCAGCTACTGTTTTGAAGTATACTAAACAAAAATATATATATTTAAAGTATTCTATTTCCATGTAGTACATGTAGTACGAGTAAATTTCGTCCAATATTCGCTAATTTTATTTTTTGTATTTTTTATTTTCTCATTACAGCGGTGATCGTGCCTACGTAGCCTCGGACCTGACATGCATGTACGTTAGCGATGAGGAGGATAAAAATTAGTTTCCGATGACGAATTTCAACTAAAGCTGACGACGTAACACTTCCACTAACACAAACACACAAAACATACATAAATGTGTGAGAATTATCACAAAGAATTATAGAAATCATTGTGCAAAAATTCTGGTATGTAAATCATAAGGAATGTAAAAATTAGGGCAAGTTTTTCTACAAACGGCCTTTACACAGTAAAGAATGTGATTTTGAAAAGGGAAACTTTTTATATGTATGCAAATGAAAAAAAAAATGTAGTGAAAATCGAGCCCTAAAGTGCCGGCTTAGATATACAAATATACAAACATACATACAGACATACATATGTATATGCTTATACAAATTTAAATATCTTTTCTTTCTACATTTATGTAAGACAAATCTATCTACTTGTTTATTTTAGTATATTTAAGTGTAAAATTAGTTAAGGCACTAACATTCTTACAAACACATACTTATATACATACATATGTAGTTTTCTATGCAAAAGCTTTGAAAATTGGCTTGGCTAGTCGAAGAGCAAATAAGACGAAATTCAGGCGGAAAAATTCGTATTTTACACGAAAGCATGTACCCTTTCAACTAACTTATTTTTCATATGAACTCACACAAAAAAAAAACTAATTGGATTTTTTCCAAAAAGTTTAGCTTTGAAGGCTAAATATTTCCACTTTTTTAATCTTTGATTTTTCAAATAAAATAAAGTTTTAATACACTATTTTAGTGCATAAATTTTCTAGAAATTAAATTAAGGTAATATTTTAAATATTCAGAAAAAGTTTAAAATGTTAATCAAGTTCTAAAAAGTTTTAAGGCTTAAGTTTTTGGAATACAGCAAACATATTTCAGAAGAAAAAATTATCAAAAATTAAATTTTATCTAATTTTTTTTAAATTTTAATTTTAAAATTTTTTTTTGCTAAAAATTTTATTTTTTTCATTTTTGATTTCCTTGTTGTTTAAAGCTTTTTTGTGTTTCTCAAGGGCGGCTCTCGTCTAGAAAAGCAAGAAAAGTAAAAACTAAATTTATCAGCAAATAAGTTAAATAAAATTTATTAGGTAAACGAAAAGTATCTATGCTTAAAAAAAAACCAATTTCCTAAAAAGTTAATTTTAGAAACTCAAATTTTTTGTATAACAGAAGAAATTGGTTTAAATACTTTATGAAATAAAAAATCATTAAATCATGAAAATTTATAAAAAAAAAATTAAACATTTAATTTTTTCAATAAACAACTTATTTAATTAAATTATTTTTAAACACCTTCAAAAAATTGTTCAACTTTGATTAAAAATGAAGGCGTTTCAAAGCTTTGTCTATGATATTTTGTACCACATAAGTTTCTCTCAAAATTGTATACAAAAAAAAAAAATAAGTAGAAATATTTTTGGATAAATATTTAAGCTTTTGATTTTCAAAATTTGATTTCCTTATTCCTTATTTCGGTTAGATTTATTTATTTTTTATTTTTTGTTTATATTATTCACATAACAAGCGAAACCAGATGAATGCTTTTCAAAAGCTACTATAAATAGGATTTTTGCACACTTTTGATAACGTAAATATGTATATGATGTTAGGAAAAATTGTATGTGTATTTTTTTTAAAAGGTTTTCTGATGGAAACTTTTTTCAGCCTCCTTTCGGCAGCAAAATAAAAGGACAGCACTTAAAGCACGCTTGCATAGATACATACATACATACATACGTATATAATATGACTATAATATTTTTTAAGCACTATATAATACTTTTCATTATTGTTCTCATTAACTTACTTATTGCTCTTGTGGCAATTCAGTCATTATATACACATAGTTACATATGTACACACAATGCAAAACATATACATACACATATCGAAAATTGATTAAAATTATATATATGTTAGTTTTATTACTACTAATATAATGTTAAACTTAAATCATGCATGCTATTCATTTACTTATGTATATACCTATACATATATATATTATATATACTGATACAATTTATTTACATACAAAAAAATAAATAAAATACTGAAAAAAATTAATAAAGCATTTTATTCAATTATTACATTTTTTTTTTTCAATAGGAAACAAATTAAGTTTTCCGATGATTTCAATTATTTTACGAAAGTAAGTCGGTACCTAAACGTGAAAAAGTGCCAAGTACGAACATTTTTTTAAAATTGTTCAGCAGAGACATAAAATCGATGTAGTTTCGCATTATCTGTCATTCTGCAACAAAAGCTAAAAATTTTGAAAAAAAGTGGACTTGGCACCTTACCAGGTAATGATTGGATCACCAGTTGCGTTGTTGAAATTTTTGACGTGCTGTTAAATCACTTACTGAATTAGATGAGTTACCTTCTTCTTCTTCCTCTGTTACCTTTGGCAAGCTGGAAATCTGGATGTAAGCAAAGAAAATGGCGAATCGATTCCTTGTTTTCTTCAACTAGACAACTTCGCCGGTGATACATTTTTGTGGTATGCCATTTTGCAGCGAATTAAAATACAGCGGCTCCGCTGGCTTGGCCATGTCGCCCGAAGATTCAACTCGGAACCCACTGGTGGTTGCAACGGAAGCAAGAGGGGTCCTCTGCGATGTAAAGACCAAGTGGACAAGAATTTGTTTTCACTTGGAATTGCCAATAGGGGTAAATAGTTTGGCAATGCTTTAGGGCAGTTCCAGGCAGCTAGCAGCCTCGCGAAGCTATGAGCGCTCAGTGAGCTATGTGTGCATATGTATTTTACCAGACACTGCTCCAGGGAAAGGACGGCCACCAAAGTCGGGTGCTTAGAGGCGTGTGTTTCCTTTCATTAGACATCTATTCTAGTTTAGATTAACTTTCAGAAGCTCGCCAGAACGTCTATGGGTGAGGTGAGGTGAGGTGAGTTGAGTTGTGGTGTGGGGAGGTGAGGTGAGTTGAAGTGAGATGATGTGAATTAAGATGGAGGGGGGGTCATCGGACGAGAAGTAAGGTGAGCATTATAACATAATAAAAAACATCTTAGTCTTCGGGTTTGACATGACATTTGCCTCTTTGTCTTCATCTCTATCCTATCCTTTTCTTTACAGTATTTGAATCTATGCCTTTATATTATTGTTGATCTGATTCTTCATTTTTATCTTAGGCTATGTCTCTGCCAATATTTTTTGCTGCCTTAATTTATGGCTCTGGTTTTGTTTTTAACCGACTTCAAAAAAGGAGAAGGTTATCAATTCGTCGGAATATTTTTTCTATAATTCTTCTTTTAAAGGAAAGGTGGTCCCATACTAATNCGGGTTTGACATGACATTTGCCTCTTTGTCTTCATCTCTATCCTATCCTTTTCTTTACAGTATTTGAATCTATGCCTTTATATTATTGTTGATCTGATTCTTCATTTTTATCTTAGGCTATGTCTCTGCCAATATTTTTTGCTGCCTTAATTTATGGCTCTGGTTTTGTTTTTAACCGACTTCAAAAAAGGAGAAGGTTATCAATTCGTCGGAATATTTTTTCTATAATTCTTCTTTTAAAGGAAAGGTGGTCCCATACTAATTTAGTTTAGATCCGATTATTGGATCATGAAGAAATTAATAATCTTAAATTTTTTTATATCGGAATTGAAGTCCGTTCTATTTTTTGCTTAAAAATTACTTGTTATTTTCGTCTTTGTATTAGTATTTGTTAGCGACTGAATTTTGAACTTCATTTTCATCTTCGTCTTTCAAAAGACTTTGGTGAGGTGAAAGACAGTTACCAGAATTGCCCTGTTACTCTTTCCAGACTCCAGGCAAAGCCTAACTATGTACATATGTATGTACATTCTAAAATCTTGCATCCTATTCTGCTCCCAGATATTTCCCTATGTACGTTGCAAGTATGTGTGTATGTATGTATGTACGTTTGCACAAATACCCCAAACCATATTTGCATGTTGTTCAAATTAAATTTACAGTAATTTGGCGTAGACACGCGAGAGTGTTGTATGGATATGTTGAACAGAAATGCACAGAAGCCAAAAATGAAAAATTGCCAAAGTCACGTTTCTAGCCAAGTACTAACTATCTAACAAACACACACACGCACACATGCACATATATAATATGGCAACAACAGGTGTCAATGGTACATATGTTGGCAGCAAAGAGGCAAGGCACCAACAAAACAATAACAATAAACACAAATAAGTTTATTGACTAAATTAAATTGGCAGACAGTGGAAAATGAAAATAAAGGCATCACCTACATTTTTGGTAACAAATAGTTATATCGGAAGGAGAACAAAAAAAAAAACTCTGAATGACTGCACCAATGAATGAATGAGAACGTTTGCAGCCAATTAACCGAAACGCTTGAATGGCAAAAACACACAACAAAAACGCTCAACAGCGTCATACGAAAACGGAAGGAACGCGAAGCCAAAAAATCGCCTAAAAGTGTAACAGTCCGAAAATGTCCAAAATTCGAATGCGAACGTCAAGAGCAAGCCGGGTAGGTAATTAGCCGCAGCAGCCCATTTTGCGCGCAAAAAAGCCAAGACAGCATTAGCATTTGCAAATACACGCCACAGCAGGCACAGTCGTCAGCCAGCAAAGCAACCAAGGTAAATGCTTGTTGGCCGTAAATTTGCGCGGATGGCTTCTTGTCGCAGTGAATTTTGTGTGCCATTGTTGCTACCCCCAAGTTGCTACTGCCGCAGCGCAGCAACAGTTCAATTGCGCGCCAATTGTCGTTGAACCTTCTCGCCACCACGCAGCGTTCGTTCCGCCAGACCTTTCTGCCCTCTCCGCCACTGTGCTCGTCCACCACCTCCACTCTAAATACTACGAAGAGCAAGCCGGCAAACGAACGCTAGCCTTGTTTTGAACTTTTACGCCCGTCTCGCCGGGGTCACACATGTTGGCCGCCGCTCCGTGTGGGTCGCGCTCACAAGACTTTCAATCGTCGATGTTGCGCTTGCTGCGCGCGCGCCTAAACCATGCCAATCAATGTGCACGATATTACCGCTTTGGTCATGTCGCAATTACTAAGCCATCGCCAGCGCTCACGTTCAACAAGCGCGACGAAGCCAAAGTACTACATACAACTTAAATAGACCTTTTTAACATTATAGTGAACAGTGAACAACAAACCGCTAAACAATTGCTCGCAATTATTGTTTGTGCGCATGCGCATGCGCCGTGCTATGCTTGTCTTTTTTGATTTTTCTTATTGTTCGCGAATTGTAATTGAAATTGGTTCACAATTGTTATTGTACACTATTTTACATTATTGCTGTTGTTGTGAGTTGTTAATTTTTCTAAGTGGCGTTGCTGGAAATGACCAATTTAGGCGTTTGGGTCGTTTAGTCCGGCTCTGTTAAGTATGACTTTACTTAACGTCGGCTAAGATGTGGAAGAGGCGGAGAGAACAAATCTGCCGCCCAGCTTTTGACTTTGGCTACTAATTGGCGATGGGGTGGCTACTATTTTCCAATTTTTTTGTTGTTATTTTTCAATTGAACGCATTTTGAGTAGCCACATCGCTGCTAAGTTTCCATTCACTTTTGGTGTAGCTTTTATTTTTAAAATAATTTCATGTTGAAACGTAGAAATCAGGAACTTGTGCAGCAGGTATTCTAACAAAATAATAACTTTGCGTAGAAAATCGTTACTCCTCTGCAAACTTAACAGACCCTTTCACGAATCTTACTAGTTTGTCTAGAGTACTTTGTTCATTCTGAATTGCAAGACAATTGAGAGACGGTATAAGTCTTATAAAAAAAAGCTACTTTGTCAACTTTAATGGCGAAAAACTCATTTCACAGACAGCACTTGCTCCAAGAGTCGCAATGGCCGAGTGCGCAAAGCACCGGCATGCCATTCGAGAGATCCGCGGCTCGCATCTTCCTCCGGCTGTTTTTTCCCCTTAGTTAAATTAATTTTTGTTTCTTTTTTTATTAATTATCTTTTGATTGTAATTTTTGGAAAGTTATTTTTTGTATTTTTTCTTCTTCAATTTTATACTTTTTCGTTTTCAATATTTTTTTTTAATTTTTAGATGTAATTGGTTTAAAGATAAATTTTTCTTCTTGTCCAATTTAATTTTCGTCTAATTTTTAGATTTTTTAGTTTTTCAAAGAAAGTTGTTTTCTTTTTTCAATTAAATATTTAGGTGTGTACTTATTTGATTATATTTCCCTTTTTCCAATTTATTAATTTTTTTCTAATTTAGTTTTCTTTTAAATTTTCATTTCATTGTTTTAAAAATAAAAATATATATATTTTTTTCATTTAATTTTTAGAAACTTTTTTGATTCATTTAAATTTTTTATTTAATAATTTTTTTCTTTTTTAATTGAATCTTTTCTTAAGTTGTACAATATATTGTTTAAAACGTAAAATAAG